CCCAGGAGGCGGAGGTTGCGGTGAGCCGAGATCGCGCCATTGCACTCCAGCCTCCTGGGTTGAGGCAATTCTCCTGCCTCAGCCTCCTGAGTAGCTGGGATTACAGGCATGCACCACCATGCCCAGCTAATTTTTTGTATTTTTAGTAGAGATGGGGTTTCACCATGTTGACCAGGATGGTCTCGATCTCTTCACCTCGTGATCCACCTGCCTCGGCCTCCTAGTGCTGGGATTACAGGCTTGAGCCACCGCGCCCGGCCTTCAATTGAATTTTCTAAGTCATTGTTTCCAGTTGTTTAAATGCAACTGTTCAAATCAAAGTTCATCATTTTGTTTGGAACAACTTTTGTGTGACAATCAATCGGTAATGTAAATGAGAAAGCAAATAGGCATATAATGACAGAAAAGTAAGTGGCAAAATAACTACAATCGTTGTTCCACTGGCTACTGCAGGACAATAAATAAAATGACAGTTAACCAAAAACACTTTTATTTTCATCTTCAAAGAAGAAACTCTTCTTTTTCCAGGATAATCATGATTAACTTACAAAAATGAGTACACATCTTCAAAGCACTTCCCTTTAACGGGAAACTTAGCTTTATAGGATTTAAACAGAAGGCAAAAAAAAATTCCACTTTCTTGTCATTATAAGACAAAACAGAATCTAGTGTAAGCCAAGGAAACTCATTCATACTTCAGGTCCTTCTCCTCCAGGAACCAGCTGCATAAAGAGGAAAGACAGTTTATTAATAACACTACCACCATGTCATCTAAAAACCCCTTGCTCTTCATAAAGCTACCTTTACCTCTCCCCACTTCACATTTCCATTTTCTCGAGACTGTCAATATCTATTTACAATTTCCAACATCATCAATTAATACTTACTATCGCAAAGCAATTTCTGACAAAATAAATGATTAAAAGTTCCAAGCAAACTAACTTTAGGCCTCAATAGCTCAGCTGTAGGGCCCTGACCACAGAGAACCCCTTTCCCATCGTAAACACCACTTGGCCATGATCATTTAGTCAAGGAAGCCGCATTAAGGTTAGTTCCTAATCACTGCCCCACAAAAACGGGCTCCCATCTAAATAAAACAGTTTCAATGTGTCTTACCATTGTTATATTATTTCCATTTAGCAAAATCTGATCTAATTTAGTAATCCTTCTTCCTTCTGGTGTAATTTCACTAAACAAATAGATAAAATACAGTCAGGATAAACAGTGACAATCAAAGCCAACATTTTATAAATACTTTCCCTCCCTCAAAAGGTTATTCTTGTAACCAAACTACTGTGAAGGCAATTACATCAACAATTTTCAGATACAAAGGTTATCCACTAGGTAAGGTAACCTTCATCAAAAGCAACAGAATGAACTCACTGACCTAATACCCACAGGTATCAGGCAGATCTTCACGAAAAGAAGTGAAAGCTTGCCAAGGAGATCAGATATGAAATGAAATGTCTTTTGGGTTTGTTTTGTTTTTTTAAGAGACAGGGTCTTATTCTGTTGGCCAGGCTCAGTACAGTGGTACGTACAATTATAGCTCACTGCAGCCTAGAACTGCTAGGCTCATGAGATCCTCAGGCTTCAGATCAGCTAGAACTACAGCTGCCCCTCACCATATCCAACTAATTTTTAAATTTTTTTATAGAGACAGGGGTCTCCTTTTGTTGGCCAAGCTGGTCTCAAACTCCCAGGCTCAATCTTCCTGCTTTGGCCTTCCAAAGTGCTGGGATTACAGCGGTGAGCTACCATGTTCAGCCTAAATGCTCTATCAGTTCCTTGATTTGACTTGAACCCTAAGATTCCCGGCTTTTTGTTAACTTCTACCTTAAAACTGTGTCTCCACTAATTTTCTAGGAGTTTAGTAATGACTAAGGTAATAATGCTCTGATTCAATTTTACAAATAAACAGATAAAATGTCTATCTTTAAGGTTATTCCAACAAGTAATTTTTTCTCACAATTTTACTTAATAGTAGTAAAACTGTCTTTAATTAAGAATAGAATTTTGTCTTTCCCCCTCAATTTTTTAAGTTTTAACATTACTCACAACTCAGTGACATCTTCCAGTACCATATCTGAAATTTGGTGTTAAGAAAATACAGAATTTACTCTAGCTTCTGCCTTTGTTCAGCTTTGTTTCTGCTTTGGTGGTTTTTTTTTTTTTTAGACAAGTTCTAACTCTTGTCATCCAGGCTGGAGTGCAGTGGCACAATCACCCCTCACTGTAGCCTCAATCTCTTGGGCTCAAAGAATCCTCCAGCCTCAGCATCCCAGAGTAGCTGAGCCCAGAGGTGCACGTCTAATTTTTGTAATTTTTATGGAGACGGGGTTTCATCATGTTGCCCAGGCTGGTCTCAAACTCCTGGGCTCAAGCGATCCAGCCACCTCGACCTCCCAAAGCACTGGGATGCCAGGCATGAGCCACTGGGCTCACCTGTTCAGTTTTAATTATAATGTTTAACACAATGGCTCAAATTCAGAATGCTTGTTGTGGATAGGAACGTTACCTTCTTCCAAAACGTACCCCTAAAAACATTGTCATAAGTTTCCTGAGAATGAACTGATTTTTATTATAATAATCACAAATACACTGATTGTCTATAGTTCTTTTTTTTTTTTTTTGAGACGGAGTTTCACTCATGTTACCCAGGCTGGAGTGCAATGGCATGATCTGGGCTCACCGCAACCTCCGCCTCCCGGGTTCAGGCAATTCTCCTGCCTCAGCCTCCTGAGTAGCTGGGATTACAGGCACGCGCCACCATGCCCAGCTCATTTTTTGTATTTTTAGTAGAGACGGGTTTCAGCATGTTGACCAGGATGGTCTCGATCTCTTGACCTCGTGATCCACCCGCCTCGGCCTCCCGT